GTCCTCCGCCGTGATATTGCTGGAATATTGCTAAACGCGGTGTAAAACCATACTCACTCACTATAATAATCTAAGTACATTTTGGATGAAATATTAAAATTTAGATACAGCGTTCCTCGGACACCATTAGCTTAAACTTACTGCTACAGATTAGGGTTATGTATTGTACTTATATATTCAACAGAAACATGTTTATTTAAAGTTACCTACTGCAATCTGTTTTGTCTGGCGCGGTATGTATATAAGCTTGTTTACAAATACAGATTTCGTTTATGAAATATAAATATGTTCCAACCAATCACTTCAAACACACAACTTAGAAAACATCTCACATGCAACATTGCCGACACGACCAGTTCAAACAAATACTCAAAAACACGGACTTCATTGATATTATGGTCCACATAAATAACATTCTCAGCTCAGTAAATACATAACATTTTTTGTAGAATTTGGGAACACGTTGATACAAAATACCGAACATTCTATTATTGTCTCAAAATTTCATTATTATTATCATTATTCTTTTGACAAACATCAACGGAAATGTTCAACGAAAATAACCAAATGGCATTCATGTGCAGCGCATTTGTACACTACAACATCTAAGAATAAGACCAGAGGAACCGCGGAGAAACACATACCAGTTCACGGGGTGCCCGAGCGTCCGAGTACACACGATGCTGACTGAGGGAGAAGGGGTCAGGTGAGGTGTCCCTGGTGTCTCTGCTGAGCTGACACGACCCTGTCCCTCTAACCCAGGTGTAGGCCCTGCAGGAGGTGTAGTACCAACACAGACGATGACACAGCTTTACAAGGGGGACGCGAGACGTTTTGAAGACTCCAGACTCATGTCCTGAGTTCTGTCCATTACCTAGAGCTACCATCACCAGCATGTACGGAATCACCAATAACACATTCGTAGGGCTTGTCATGTTTCAGCCTTCTTCAAGAACACCACTTTGCAATGAGCTATAACAGAGAAACTGACACGGTAACGTGAGATTCACATCTGTCAGGGCAACGATAGCCTTTTAACCTGATCGATTTAATAAAATGTTATATATTTTTAGCAGCGGGTTTGGTTATTGGTAAAAAAATAACAGCTCCTCCAGTTAAAGTCGAGTGTGGAACACCTGCTGCAATTTGCAAATTGCACCATGATCGGCTGTGCGTGATCGTGAGACGGAACTTCACAATAAGCACTAAATATAATAATGCAACATACGCTTAAGTTAACTGTCGCATCTAGTGTGTGATATCCACGTGATTACATCAGGCTGGATACAGAGACAACTATTTTTTTATTTTTTTATTATTTTTATTATTATTTTTTTTATTTTTTTTATTTTTTTTGAGACAACTAGGACTAGGGTCCCTACACAGGTGTCATCAAATGAGAACTGTTCACAATAGCTCAGCATAACCTATTTATTATGATTACATTAGAATGCAATAGCAATAAACACATAGCCTATAACACGAGCGTCATACAAAAAGAAAGTATGGGATCGAACCGGCAGAGTACTTTAGCAAATAGAATGTGCGTTCGGTTTTTTTCCTAAAGAGCGATAACTCTCCTTTTGAAACGATATAAGCGACTGCCTGGCTTCCTTTTCAATGTGCGCTGCGACATCTTGTGACATGTAGAGACAGAGCCGAGTTAAACCGGTTCCCTGTTACACTTTAATTTAAATGTTGTGATTTTGAGTTGGGAGCAGCAACATTTGTTCAGTGTAAAACTAAAATATACGTGATGGAAGGTATGGGAAAACGCCATGACAAACCATGTGTTGCCCTGGTCTTTTCGGGAAAACAACGAGACAGTATCGTTCAGCCTAGGGTAATATTGCACCCTTGAAACATGCAAAGATTTATTTATCAGACTTTGTGATTTCCCGCAGAAAGTCTTTAACTACTGCGGGATGCAAGTGAGGTCACGGGTGGCCCAGTCGTCGAAGGCGCCGCCATTCGCTGTGCAGAGTTGCGTCCCTTGGGAACGCCAGAAACCTATAATTGTGGGTTCGAATCCCGGTTGGCCCCGATTATGTTTCTAGGTTTGTCAGCACCATACCCGTGCTCGTGGGTTTCACCGAGGTGGTAAACGTCTGAGACCTGCATCACTTGTGGCTTTCCAATTACATGAAGCTGACACGCCGTGTTATAACTTGAACACTGTTAAAAGGGGCGTTAAACGTCACTCACTCACTCACTCACTTACTCACTCACTCCACTCACTCACTCACTCACTCACTCACTCACACACTCACTCACTCACAAGCCTGTATGACAAGAGGATGACTTCAACTTTATACCGACCAATATTCCTGCAGCTCCAGTTTTATGGTGGACATGTGGAGGACATTTCTATATTTGCATCAGTGACAAATATTATTTCCGATGCAAATTCCTTTTTTGACTTGGTTCCCGTGTTTTCTTCAGTTGAACAATTGACGTGACTTTGCATGTGTTTGTGACGGGTGCCACCGGTTGGGCAGGATACGTTAACCTTTTTGCAAACACCTGATAGTGATTCACAAACACAAGCTCGTGATATAGGAACCGTACAATCGACTGTTTTGGACAGATAATTCTTATGAATATGGAAAGGATTTTGTCGCTTGATCACATGATACATGATACTAGTGAGTGAGTGAGTATGGTTTTACGCCGCTTTTAGCTATATTCCAGCAATATCACGGCGGGGGACACATGATACTAGAGGAATATCCAGTGATATAAGTAAGAGACCGACCTTTAAATGTACGGCAGAGAGTTATAATAGTTTCAGCATGTACATTCCACAAAATATACTAAACAGAAAAAGTTATGGATCATGAATATTTTTTGGGATATTTTAGGTTGTGAAGACTGAGCACACAATTTCAAATAAATATCCCCAAAAACATATTGATCCCTAATCTTTCTTCTTGAGTACATTTGGACGTAAATCCTGCTGGGGTATCATGCAGGAAGCCAAGGTACTGTAAGTCCCCATGATCCCCAGCGAGGTGACCTAGCTTTGGTAACTGGTGACCTATAGCCCGTGTTTTAAAACTGTATTATATTGTTATGTTCAAATATGTTTCATAAATTGTTTTTAAAAATAGTATTCATGAATTGATTTTAAATATTATTGTGCATAGATGACTCAATTGTTAACATATTAAACTTGGTCTCGTCGCTATATGTCTGGAATAATGCCGATACGACGTTAAATTTTAATTCACTCTTGAATATTTGAACATAATCCTAGGTTCTGTCATTCTTGCCCACCCCGTCACTGAGATCGTTCCCCAGAACTCTTTCTTCGCGTCGTAAGAGGTCACTAATTGAATCGGGAGGTCAGATTTGGTCCCTTGGTTGATTGCCTTAGTATCAAGTTGTTCATACTATCAACCACTGGTTTGGTTTCTTGTCATAGTATCAAGTTGTTCATACTATCAACCACTGGTTTGGTTTCTTGTCATAGTATCAAGTTGTTCATACTATCAACCACTGGTTTGGTTTCTTGTCATAGTATCAAGTTGTTCATACTATCAACCACTGGTTCGTCTGACATATTGTAAAATGCAGCCGTGATACAGTTGGAATATTACAGCAGCGTCAATCAACAAAACAAAAACTAAATTAACAAATTAAAAATACTTACTACATGCCATGTAATGTTCCTTTATAATGTTAATTGTTGATGTCATCAATTATGACGTCATACGTCCGCTTTGGGTAAAAGCCACAGCATTATATTTGACTGGCATTTCAATATAAAGTCATCACACAACCACATACGTCTAGGCTACACATACCCATACGCTTTTAGAATCACGCACATACAAGCGTCTTTAAGCAATTGTATGTCGGATAAAATAAAGTGTTTTTGGAGGTAAAGATACGTCAGTGTGTTATGTGGCTTGCTGCATTGAGCTACATAGTATTTTTATCATGTGGGTATTATTTAGTATTATTCCCAATTTAGCGTTCCTCCCAACAGAGCCATACAACTCTTGCCCAAAAGCTATATGATCAGAGTGACACCATTCAAAGCTCTGGAAGAGGTTTCCTGCAGACATTTAGAAGACATATCTAAATTTGACGCATCGGTGACCAACGCATGTCTGATGCAATTCCCTATTTTGATTTGTACCATAGCTCTGTTTGTCCAGGTGAACAACTGACCTGGTTTTCTGACGAGTGTCAATACTGGGGCAGGATAGTCTCACCTCACGGAGTGAGTGAGTGAGTTGGGTTTAACGCGCCTTTTAACATTATTCCAGTTATATCACGGCGTGTCAGCTTAATGTGGGAGGAAAGCCGAAGTGATGCAGGTATCAGACGTTTACCACTGTGGTGAAACCCACGAGCACGGGTATGGTGCTGACAAACCTAGAAACATAGTTTGGGCGAACCGGGATTCGAACCCACAATCATAGGTTTCTGGCGTGCCCAAGGGACGCAACTCTGCACAGCGAATCGCGGCACCTTAGACGACTGGGCCACCCGTGCCCCCACCTCACCGAACACTTGGTATCATCATTCTTTGACAGTGAGCCATAAACACAAGCTTGTGATGTTGTCGTTATCGTACAATGGACTATGATTGGTTGGTTGCTTTGTTGTTTAACACCGAACTCAGCAATATTACAGCTATATGACAGCGGTCTGTAAATAATCGAGTCTGGACCAGACAATCCAGTGATTGAAATCATGAGCATCGATCCACGCAATTTTGGATCGATGACATTCATCAACCAAGTCAGTGGGCCTGACCACCCGATCCCGTTAGTCGCCTTTTACGACAAGCTGAGTCGCCTTTTACGGCAAGCTGGGTTGCTGAAGACCTATTCTTCCCCGGAATCTTCATGGGTCCAATGGGCTATGAAGAGCTTTCTTATGATCGCGGAAGGGTTTTGTCGCCACTTTTGACAGCATTGTCACGTCTGGTTTTTTCAATGATAGGACAATAACATTTCACTTTCTTTTCTTTATTTTATATACTGTCTTCCATACAACTCCTGAAAAGGTCAACACAGGATGGTGTAGGTAATACACGCATGGATTATTCAAATCACTTGAAATTGTCGACGGAACAATCATCGGCAAAGTTTTAAAGAAGCTGAGATCCGACAACAATTATTATAAGTTTCGGACACATGAAGTCATGTACACTGTTAAAATAATAGTCCACATGTCTTAACATGAGGTAGGTTTGAAGTATGTGTTAAATCATGACAAGACAAACGTGACAGCTACATCCCACCACCCCTTGTCGCCAGGAACGCCCAGGACGATGTCCACACAAAGAAGACCGTGGTCACTAGTTGTCATACAAGATGTTCATTTTATAATGTTGAGCTTCTCTGTGGATCACGCTGTATGTCACTGAAACAGAAAATAAACACGTCCACCACACTTCCACCACGTCGGATCAATCCAATATAATAGCTCCCACAAAATTAGGGACACACTATCATCGTTCATATGCCTCAACGTGAGATTGAGCAGGACTACTGACCCATAAGAGCCCGTATACCGTCACTAAAAATCCAAGATGGTTGTTACTGACCTAATATGAGACCGTATACCGTCAGTAACAGCCATCTTGGATTTTCCAACACACACCTCACATTTTTCACATGAAAATTCTAGTACGGGAAATCATTATTCGACAACTGTTTTGTGTTCTAATATCATTAATTGTGATGCGCAAAGACATTAGAAATTAATTATTTGAAAAACACCTTCGTGACTTCACTAAACAAATATAGAAAGAAATGAAGGGTTACATTAATGAATGAATTGGACAACTCGTCTGCGGAAGTTCATTGAAGATACATTGACTGAGTGAACACATAAACCGGAAGTGCTGACAGTAGGACGTCGTCGCACGCGCGCTCCCTATTTGATAGATAATTCAGCAACACGTCCCATTGTTTAGAGGGTTTCGGACCTGGGAGTTTTGCAAGAGACGGAATTCAGGGGTCACTATTACAGCCGACCAATCCAGTCAGTGTTTACGTCATTTCAAGAACACGGTCTCGTGAAAAACGTATGAACGTCAAATTGGGGCGTTCATGCACTTATGAATGTCAATTTTGCGGTCATGTGATAGACCTCTCGCCCAATGGAAAAGCCGTATATCGTGTAGGCTTCAAATTAAAAAATTATATATTTTTGATATTCGACCCTAAAATGTCTTATCTGCCTGGGGACAATGGAAAAGCCGTATATCGTGTAAACTTCAAATTAAAAAGTTATATATTTTTTATATTCGACCCTAAAATGGCTTACCTCCCTGGGGACAATGGAAAAGCCGTATATCGTGTAAACTTCAAATTAAAAAAGTTATATATTTTTGATATTCGACCCTAAAATGGCTTACCTCCCTTGGGGCAGCAGAAGGCAACGTCGAACACCATCTTGCAGGACGTGGAGCCGGGGCAGGTGTCGTCATCACAGCTCATTGAGCGGTCGGTGCGTCCCTGGCGTCCCTTGAGAGAAGCCACGGTCTTGCAGTCCAGCGACTTAGCGGCCTTAACCTCAGCCCGGCCATCAATCAGCTTCATCATGGTGGTGTGTTTGAGCTGAGATGCGGGCAGGGAACCGAGCTGGGTAAGTCTGCTGGGGTTGATGGTGTTGAGTTGATTTCCAGGGACAGCAACGCTGCCGAGAGGACTAAACAAGTTTGATTTGTAAGGGCCGTTGATCATACTACCTCCAAGGCCTATTGAAGCTGTGTACCTCGGATTGTAAGCTGGCATCACTGGAGCTGCTGTGGGGAGTTTTGCCTTCGGTTGAGACTTTTGAACATACGCTGATAACGGAGCACGCCCTAACTGTGTAAGACTGTTTGGAGATGCTGGTACTGTGCGGTGACGCGGACCTACTAGCTCCACTCGTGCCTGTTGGCCTGGAAGCCGAGCAGCTCCATACGGAATTGGATCGACCACAGCGTAGGGCAGGAGTGATGCAGAGGGGGCCACCAGTGCTTTGAGAAGTGTGGCCACCCTTGTTGCGTTGTAGGCTTCGCTTCGACTCCACGGTGTTGCTGTAGAGTTAGAAGCAGCTGGTTGTACAGCTGCAGTACGCCTTGGACCAGCTGCCTGTATTCTGGACTGATGTATCTGAGTGTTCCTGCCTGTAGGTGTTCCAGTTAGTTTTATTCCAGCTTGGCCATTTGGTAGGTGAGATGCTCGTGGTGCTGACATCCCGGTCGTACTTGACCCAGCCGGTGATGTTTGAGGACTTGCGCCAGATGGCTGACTTTGTGCGTTTGGGTAACTTCCGACCCGAGCTGCCCCTGTCTGGGCACTTGTCCTCATCCCAGTTTGATATGGTCTTGTGTAACTGGTACCCTGTTGTTTGTTTGCATACAACCCGGGTAAGATGTTGCCGAAGGGCTGAGGATTTTGCTGGTAAACTGCATTTGATGGTCTGGGTTGCCCGTTAGGATATGTACCCAGAGGAACATTGGCCATGTATCCTTGGAAGGGAACCAGTCCATTTAAGATCCCTGTTGAATATGAAACTCGTTGTCCGTTAACGTGCGTGCCTTGATAAGCCATGCCTGAAGGTCCGCCAGGATACGCATTGACCATTGACTGACCGTTAGCATGTGTCTGTTGATAAGCACCTGCTGAACTGCTAACGGGCTTATCGTTAGTATACATTCCATTATACCGGCCACCAACTATCAGCCGCCAGGTGGCGTCACCTCCAGTGGTTTGCTGTCCAGTTTGATATGTCCCAGAACGCCCTGTTCCGGATGTTCCGCTAGGCAGGACGCCATGCTGTGCGGCCCCATTGTAGCCTGTTCCTCCAGTAGTAAGCAGTCCAGTATGATATGTCCCAGAACGCCCTGTGCCGGATGTTCCGCTAGGCAGGACGCCATGCTGTGCGGCCCCATTGTACCCTGTACCTCCAGTAGTTGGCAGTCCAGTATGATATGTCCCAGAATGCCCTGTGCCGGATGTTCCGCTAGGCAGGACGCCATGCTGTGCGGCCCCATTGTACCCTTCACCTCCAGTAGTTGGCAGTCCAGTATGATGTGTCCCAGAATGCCCTGTGCCGGATGTTCCGCTAGGCAGGACGCCATGCTGTGCGGCCCCATTGTACCCTGTACCTCCAGTAGTTGGCAGTCCAGTATGATATGTCCCAGAACGCCCTGTGCCGGATGTTCCGCTAGGCAGGACTCCATGTTGTGCGGCCCCATTGTACCCTGTACCTCCAGTAGTTGGCAGTCCAGTATGATATGTCCCAGAATGCCCTGTGCCGGATGTTCCGCTAGGTAGGACGCCATGCTGTGCGGCCCCATTGTACCCTGTACCTCCAGTAGTTGGCAGTCCAGTGTGATATGTCCCAGAATGCCCTGTGCCGGATGTTCCGCTAGGCAGGACGCCATGCTGTGCGGCCCCATTGTACCCTGTACCTCCAGTGGTTTGAGGTCCAGTATGATATGTCCCAGAATGCCCTGTGCCGGATGTTCCGCTAGGCAGGACGCCATGTTGTGCGGTCCCATTGTACGCTGTGCCGGGCGACCCCGAGGCGACTTGCCCCGACCGGAGGAGAGTGGGAGGGGTTGAGGACGAGAATCCGCGACACCCTGCAACAGTTGACACATGTGTTTGGGTATACTACTGCGAAGATATATATGAATCTTCTGCACAAGTCCCGATATTGGTATTCAACTTTTCCATGAAACACTCAAACCGGTGAGTTATGGTGTGCATCTAAATAGTACTGAACAACTCTATTTATAATATAATATAATATAATATAATATAATATAATATAATATAATATAATATAATATAATATAATATAATATAATATAATATAATATAATATAATATAATATAATATATCTGCCTACCTAAGAAATCGTTTTTAGACTCATCTTAACCTTTCAAACATTTAGAAAGGTCCAGTTATAGGAACCTACATATGATTATAGCATAATTTTGAAATAAAAGTACGATATGGAACCGGCGATTTATTTTACAACATTCAATATTAAATATTTTGTATTCACATGTCGCTTTTTGACAGGTTCCCATTTGCACTCGTCATGTCAGTCAAATCTCACGAAAGCGATGATGAGGTAGAACAGCAGTTTATCGTTGGGTTCAAGGTTATTGCACTAATATGTCTAGCGACTCGGGTGCGTAGCTGCTTGTACTTGTCCGAACTTAAGCCGGTTGTCTATTGCGAGCCAAGGTTGAATACTTCTGACCAAGATTGGTTGGTTGGTTGGTTGGTTGTTTAACGCCGCACTCAGCGATATTCCAGCTATATGACGGCAGTCTGTAAATAATCAAGTCTGGACCAGACAATCCAGTGATTGATATCATGAGCATCGATCCACGCAATTGAGATCGATGACATGCATCAACCAAGTCAGCGAGCCTGACCACCTGATCCCGTTAGTCGCCTCTTACGACAAACAAAGTCACCTTTTACGGCATGTATGGGTTGCTGAAGACCTATTCTATCCCGGATCTTCACGTGTCTGACCCAGATTGAAGTCAGACACCATTATTTGTCAACTAACTTAACCTTGAAGGAAAACATGTATTATTCATTGTTAACATGCAACACTTAACCATGAAGAAATCCCCCGTGCCTAAATGGGAAACACGATATCGCATGTTATTGCCTGATCTATCAATACTTGGGCTCAGTGTCCAAATATATCTTCTAATTTAAACATCTGAGTACGATTAATACTACAGTATTACTGTTTGACTATAGTTTGATGCCAGTGATGGAAGTGAAGAAAGGTCTCAAAAACACGATCAGCGGATCCTGATCAGCAAAGGGATACAACTCCGCCCCTGATATATTGCTATTGGAATTAACTTTCAGTACAATTAAACGTAATTATTGTTCTTATGTTCTAATTATAACGGGGACAGGGGTGGCCCAGTCGTCTCAGGCGCCGCGATTCGCTGTGCATAGTTGCGTTCCTACGGCACGCCAGAAACCTATGATTGTGGGTTCGAATCCCGGTTCGCCCCAATTATGTTTCTAGGTTTGACAGTACCATACCCGTGCTCGTGGGTTTCACCGAAGTGGTAAACGTCTTAGACCTGTTAGACCTGCATCACTTCGGGCTTTCCTCCCACATTAAGTTGACACGCCGTGATATAACTGGAATAATGCTAAAAGCGGCGTTAAACCCAACTCACTCACTCACTCACTCACTCTAATGATAGTACCGTTAGTCACAAGTTACCGTTACAAACACTAGAACAAGAGAGTATTGTTGGGTGGTCCTACCTGATATCAGTACACATACAACCACACTGGATGCGAACACTTGAACGACGGAGGTGCACATGGTGAGTGACGCTGTGATCACGTTGTGCGGTGTCACGGAGACACGGCTTTATATATACCTGCCTTTAATTGCCGTTGTCACCCCACGGTCCGCCATACGCTATTGACCTTCATCTGACCTCCTCCGTGTCACTCCACAACATAAACTGATCAGAGGGATGGACAAGGATGTTTTTTGATTGACTTCATTACCTCTATCCTTGACATTGATCTGTAAGCATAAACATAGTGACAGAATAATGTACTGGCTTTCTGTTTAGGTAAAAGAACATTGATGACTGATGAACTGAAAAAAATGATGGTAAAGAAAGTGGAACTAGTTTTTCAAAGGTTTTGGTCCTAACTCGTGTTTTGTGACATGATAACATGGCAAATGTAGTTCATTGTGATCATTATGTGAAGAAATGTCATCTTGTGTGTTTTTTTTCTGCTCTTTTTTTATAAATACGTGTTAATGTAAACACTATGAAAATACATCTTGTAGTTTTTGCACATGTTTTAGCTTGATTGTTTTTGTGTGTAACTGTTCTATTTAAGTAGTATTTAATTTTACTGAGTGATAATAATCTGGTGATAACTTTAAGGATAACAATTCATTTTTGTAGTGGTGCGTGTGACCACGTGTACCAATGGTTTCTGTGTGGTATTGTTTTGTTGATATGCAAATGAATTGTTCCTTATTTAAGACTTGTTTGCTAAATCAGTACCTACATCTTCTTATACATTGCCAATATAACCTCTGTCTCGTGCATATATCTATCTCCTTAAACCTGGGGCGGTAGGGTAGCCTAGTGGTTGGTTAAAGCGTTCGCTTGTCCCGCCAAAGACCCAGGCTCGATTCTGCCCCACATGGGTACAATGTGTGAAGCCTATTTCTGGTGTCCCCCGCTGGAATATTGCTAAAAGCGGCGAGAAACCATACTCACTCACTCCTTCACTCACTCCTTCACTCACTCACTCACTCACAACGAAGGCATTGTAGTTGTAGTAGTTGGTGCAGTTGTGGGTGGAGTCGTGACTGTTGTAGTTGTAGCGGCAGTGGTCGTGAGAGGTGATGCGGTAGTAGTCGTTGGTGTAGCAGTAGTGGTATCGGAGGCAGTTGATTCTGTCGTAGTTGGAGCAGTATTTGTGGGAGATGCCGCCGTGGTAGGAGTCGTAGGGGTCGATGCGGTAGATGTAGTCGGCCGTGTGGTGGTGGTAGATGTGACATCCTGGGATTCAAAGTGTTGCGCATGTACTGCACCTAAGACAAGAATACGTCATTTTAAATACTTTGGAGCATTGCTGAACAATATAGTCCCAAAACAAAATTCTTCTGATATGAAACACATTCAATAACTTGATCTCAACCATTTGTTTTAGCCTTGACCTCACCCCCACAATTCTTGCTCCCACGTCCACGGCCACGCCCACTCCTACGCCCACGCCCAAGCCCACACCCACACCCACGCCAACGCCCTGATCCACGCCCACACCCACACCAACGCCCACGCCCACGCCCACGCAACACCCACACTCACACCTACGCCCACGCCCTGACCCACGCCCAGCAACTACAGCTGCGACAACTGATGCTACGACTACGACTGCTGCAATCACGACTACAGTAGCCACGACTACTACAGTTTCTACAACTACAACGGAAATCACTACTGAGACTACATCACCAACGACAACAACGACACCTACTACTACTACAAACAAACGTATGCATTATTTCCAATGCTCTATATATAAAGTGAATATATATGTTCGGGGGCACGGGTGGCCTAGTCGTCTAAGGCGCCGCAATTCGCTGTGCAGAGTTGCGTCCCTTTTGTACGCCAGGAACATATGATTGTGGGCTCGGATCCCGATTCGCCCCAATTATGTTTCTAGGTTTGTCAGCACAATATCTGTGCTCGTGGGTTTCACCAAAGTGGTAAACGTCTGAGACCTGCATCACTTCGGGCTGTCCTCCCACATTTAGCTGACACGCCTTTAT